CCGTTTGAGCGTACTTCACCACGCCGGTCGGTGCGAGCCGACGGAGCCGGCGATGGGTGCCCACGGAACGGGACGTGGTTTGGGAATCGGAACTCGGGGCGCTAACCTCGCTGGCTCCACCGTGGGGGATTTGTGATCGGCGTACTCGAAAGCCGAGTCCGACCTCGGCCCGGGGTCGTGGGAACGGGCGGACACGGGAGGCTGCTGGCACCGGGAAAGGTTCCTGAGATGTGCGTCACTTCCCCCCCCCCCCCGGACCCCCAGCCAAGGGCCCCCCCTGATTGAGCGATCGAAGGCAAGCGATTTCACATGCGCGCGCACGAAGACACGCGGACGCGCTGCTGCGCTGTGCCCCAATTGTCGACTTCACGGCTCGCGCTGCAAAGAGGAGGGCCCCAATCATCGCCGGCCATGCACTTCTTCACCCCTGTCACGGCCACGCTTGGGTCGTAATTGACAGCACGCTTTGAGCTGTTGTTGTTGTTGTCGTCTGCGCCACCGCTGCCAACGCAGCAGCATCACCACCACCAATAACGTCATTTGATTTTACGAACGCGATTATTTACAAACGGTATCGCTGGTCGTGCCTGTATATATATATGTTATACATTAGCTTCTTTTTAATAGCCTTTGCATGCCGGGTAGGTCAAAAAAACACATATATAGAGCGAGAGAGCGTATTATATTTTCACGCAGCCCCTTCCTGATTTATACCTCATTCCCCCTCCCCCCCGGAGACCTCTACTCCATTTGATTACATTTTCTGCCAGGTTACTAATAACAACGGCATAGAATCAAAGACGCTGCTGGCTTCGGCAATGACCATATCAAATCAGGTCAAGTCCTAAATCTTCTTGTGGCGTGGCCTGGTTTTTTTCTCTCTCTCGCTCTCTCTCTCCGTCTCGCACCGCCCCCCATTTATTAGATCCGGCCGAGCAATATGGTACGGAGGTGTCCCGGTGACCCTTGACCTGGTGGCATGTGCTCATTTGACATACTTCCTGGCTTTTATGGAATCAATATGGTAAAAAGATTTCTAGAAGAAGAAAAAAATAACCAGAACAAAATGATGGAATGTTCCTTACACCCCCCCCTCCCCGACTCCCACCACCCCCCCTTGAAGCTGGGCCTGTGAATTCCTCCGGCTGTGTTCAACGCTCGCCGCTCGACTCTCACGCCGCGGGGGTGCGCGTGCCGACGATCCGAACCATCATCGTCGTCGTCATCAGCATCGAGAAGAAGGGGACGAAGGGGGAGACGTTAATTGTTAAAATTCCAAAAACGCTTTCCACGTAGAAAAAGAACCCGGAGTGGCTCAGTTCTCAATTATTTGCGCCGGTGAGAAGCGTCGCTTAATTCTCCGTCAAAGCCGCCCAATTAAGAGGCGTGATTGAACACGTCGCTTCTTTCCAATATCGTCCGTGGCTTAATAACGTTGCGCCTTATTTATTTATTTCACCCCCCACCCCCGCTCCTCCTCTCGAGCAAAATAACCACGAGCAATAATTTAATACACAAACTACTCCAGGGCGCGGGGGAGATGGTTTCCATTAATCTCCCAACGCAATCAGCGCCGGGTTTGAAGTTCACATCTGTTTGGGGTGGGGTTTTTTTTTTTATAAGCCGGGCCCCCCGCGCTTCGCCTCCGATCATCTGAGCCCCCCCCCCCCACCGCCCACCCCACCGGCCCCTGCGAGGGCTGAACGAGTCGAGGGTTTAAAAAAAAAAAAAGGAACACAACCGCACGCTCGCATCGTCATCCGTCATCTCGTCGGCCGTCGCCGTTCGACGTCCGCGATCTGTCCGCTGCTAGCGGGAAAACTCATGGGCATCCAGTGCACAGAGCATGGCAGCGGCAGCTGACAATGATGCGGATGTCTGATGATGGCGACGCTGATGCTGATGCACGAATGGGGGGGGGAATTTAAAATCCCCTCCGGTCGGCGCGTGGCGACGCTGCGGTCACCGCGCAGAGCGGAACAGAACCGCGGGGGCGAGCGTGACCATCGGCTCGACGCCCGATTCGCAAACGCGGAGGAGGGGGGCGAGGGGCCGCGACAGAGTTTAAATCTCGCCCCCAAAACAAAAACGCCTTTCGCATCTTCTTCTCCCCCCCCGTGCTCGCGCAGAATTTCCCCCCCCCCCTCCCCACCCCCCCCGGTCCCTCTCGTTTTTCTCCTCCACATTTAGAATCGCCGTCACGCGTCCATGGGCGTTTGGCTCCCGTAAGTGTCCACACAACAAGCCACTCCGGTGAGCTGTCGTTTGTGGCCCGGTCGCTTCTGAAAAAGAGCTACATAGCTCAGTGGGCCTTACCTGGTGAAATAAAACATAGTCTTATAGAGTCCTTGGGTCTCTTGGTAACTCCACAGGTCTCTATGTAAGTCTGTGTGTCTCTGTGTAGACCTACGGGTCTCTTTGTGGGTCTGTGGGCCTCTTGGTAGCTCTACAGGTCTCGATGTAAGTCTACATGTCTCTGTGTAGATCTACGGGTCTCTATGTGAGTGGGTATGGGTCTCTATGTGGGTCTGTGGGTCTCTTGATAGCTCTACAGGTCTCGATGTAAGTATACATGTCTCTGTGTAGATCTATGGATCTCTATGGATCTCTATGTGAGTGGGTATGGATCTCTATGTGGGTATGTTGGTCCCTTGATAGCTCTACAGGTCTCGATGTAAGTCTACATGTCTCTGTGTAGATCTATGGATCTCTATGGATCTCTATGTGAGTGGGTATGGGTCTCTATGTGGGTATGTTGGTCTCTTGATAGTTCTACAGGTCTCTATGCAAGTCTACATGTCTCTGCGTAGATCTACGGGTCTCGATGTGAGTGGGTATGGGTCTCTATGTAGGTCCCTTGATAGTTCTACAGGTCTCTATGTAAGTCTACATGTCTCTGTGTAGATCTACGGGTCTCGATGTGAGTGGGTATGGGTCTCTATGTAGGTCCCTTGATAGTTCTACAGGTCTCTATCTAAGTCTACATGTCTCTGCGTAGATCTACGGGTCTCGATCTGAGTGGGTATGGGTCTATACGTGGGTCTGTGGGTCTCTTGATAGCTCTACAGGTCTCGATGTAAGTCTACATGTCTCTGCGTAGATCTATGGGTCTCGATTTGAGTGGGTGTGGGTCTCTATGTAGGTCCCTTCGTAGTTCTACAGGTCTCTATGTAAGTCTACATGTCTCTGCGTAGATCTATGGGTCTCGATGTGAGTGGGTATGGGTCTATACGTGGGTCTCTACGCCAGCCCCCCCCAACACGTTGCGCAACTGCCGGTGCCTCCAAAGGACCGGGGCGGCGCGTTCCCGAACAACCGTCCACCATCGCGGCACTCGGGCCTCGTTCGACGCCGCGCCCATGTGATTTGTTATCGGTTGGCATCGGCCCCATGTGTTTTACCCAGCGGGCCATAGTGCGGCTACTACTGCCACTACTGCTACCGCTACTCTCATCATCGTTATCATCATTATTTTTCCTTACGGCCGTCTTGACCGGGTCGGTGGCGCCATTGATTATTTTCGCAAGAAGGGGGGAAGGGGGTGGGGGGGGGGGGGGGCGGGCAGGGGCGCCAAAAACTTGGATTCTCGCTTTCTTCCCGAGCGACGCAACCGAGGAAGAGGTCCGGCGCAGCCGCGGAATTATTAAGTTCGGCTGGCTCTGTCCGCGGACAAAATATAGTCCGGTGCCCCCCTCCCCCTCCCTACACCGCATCAGGCATGGCTCTCGCCGTGCCTCTGGCTACTGCTGCTCGTGGCGTGGCCCCCACCAATGCCGGAGACACTCGGGCTCGCCTAGAGGCCAGTACCCGCGTAGAGAGCCGTAGATTTGGACGGAGACCCCCGTAGGCTCGACGAGGTTCCCGTGGACTCGCAACGGACCACGGGCGCGCCAGGGGTTTCAATTTCAACCGGCCTACGGTCCCCGTCGGTGACTCGCAAGATATTCTTCCCAGCGCACCACGTTCGGTACCCCCCCCCTCGCTGTGGCCGTGGCATACTCGGTCGCACGCCGCCTACTCCGGGTCGACCGGCGACCCCGGAGCGCCGCGCGTTCGGCGTGAAGTGGAGCCCTGGCCCGCTCGCGGCCACCGGGCGCGGCGACCTTGGGGCGATGTGCGGCGAGGTCGTCGGCGAGGTCTTCGGCGAGGTTGGGCGCCGGACCGGGATGAGAGAAGCGCGAGCTGCTACCCCCGGCGCTTAGCCGTGGGGTCCCGGCACCACGACCCCGGCGCGGTGAACCGGCGGTCGGGCACGGGCGGCGCCGCGACTGCCGGCTCGACTCGAACGACCGAGCCCTTCAAGCGTCGCTCGTCATTTGTTTGATGTTCGTCGTGCAGCTGCAGCGTGGGCGGCGGTGATTGCTCTTCGATTCCGGCGTCACGATCTGCGTCGGCGGTTCCCTTGTTGCGATGATGAGATCGTCATTATTAGCGTCATCGCCGTCGTCATCATTGTCATCGTCAGCATTGTATATTGTCGTCGTCATCCGTCGTTATCACCGTTGTGACAGTGGCTGGCGCGGTGCGCTGCGAACCCGACGACCAGTTCTGTTCCCGGCCACGGCTAACATCGGCGGCGGGTTGACATCCGAACTGGTCCTCGAACCACGCCCAATCCACACTGATCATCGTGGTGTTGCATGGTTATACAACGCCCTGGACCCGCACGGCTTGTGGTAAGCCCTCACCGGGCAGTACGGTTGTTATCGCTTATAACAGCTGTTATTTTATTGGAAATAATCAGTGTCGAAGTTGCTTCTCTTACGCGAAATTCACGTTTTGCCGGGGCTCGGCGGGCGAGCGTCGGAAAGTCACGAATGTCGGAACACGACAATGACGCAACATTCCGGTGAACCGCGCCGAGCGCCCGTGCTCGCTCAGGCATCGCGTCCGTCTTCGTCACGGCGACACGGCCTAATTCTTACCCTCTTGTCGTCCCTCCTCCCCCCCCCCCCCCCACCTTCTCGCCCCCCCCCCCCTCCTCCGCCCTCGCGGTGCAGGAGAATTTACGGAGAAAGGAAATTCGGACGAGAGCTCGCTCGACAGGAACTCCGCCGCTGGCACCGAAGAGAAGAGGGAGCGCTCCGGTAAGGGGCACCACGCGGACGCTCGCTCCACGCCCAGCAATGCCGTGCGCCCCCCCGATCGGCACCGTCCATTTACTTTAACCGGGCGGGGAGGGGGGCCCACTGACTCCAGAATGACGGTGTCCTTACTGGGTTCGGAGTTCAACAAATCGCCGCCCTGTAGACGGTGGCAGATCCACGACGGGTGGAGGGGGGGGGGGGGCGAGGGTCTGGTGCAGGGGCTCCGCCCATCGAGACTCCGTAAAGTAGAAGGTTTTGTTGATGCTTACCGGAGACTCGTTGTCTTTACGACTCACGCCGGGCACGTGTACCCGATGCATGCCAGCCTACCGGGGACGCGACGCCGCTCCTAGGAGACGCCGTTGGTGTGCGTTTTCCCGAGCGCCCGCGCCGGAAACGGAGTCGCCACGCCGCCGATAACCGCCGACAAACGTTGCGCGGGAAACTAATTTGGCACTTTTTTGTGTTTTGCGGGTATCACGGCGGCGTGCGTGGGGATGCTTGCTTATGCGACGTGGCCCCGGAATTGCATGTGACAGTGTCTCTTCCCAGGTTTATGCCGTTTGCGGCTTCAATTTGAGGGAATCTAATTTGAGCCACTTTGAATTCTGATGAACGCTCAGGAGATGCGCCGCTGCCTCCCGCGCTGTCGAGTTTCCCGACTCCTCGATTCGTTAATTTCTCTCCCCCCCCCCCCCCAACCCCCCCGTCTGCCGCTGCCTCCCTCCCTCCCAGTGCCCCCACGCAAATGTATTTTTTTTTTTAGCGATGATTGCGCTCGCGCAGCCGCGAGAACCGTGACACCGCGCCGGGCGCGGAGAGGCGTCGCCTCGCTCTTAACGCTCCGCGCCCGCCCGCTGATTGCCGTCGCCCCGTGTGACGCATCCAGCATGAAATTACCTCTTTCCCTGCGCTCGTAAATTATTCCGGGCTGGGGCGTGTGGGGGGCGTGTGGGGGGCGTGTGGGGGGCGCGAGAGGGGCGGGATGGGGGGGAGTGGAGGGTGGTCGGGGGGAGCCACCGTGGTTGTACGTGCGGCCTTCGTAGGTGCTGCTCGCTAACGACGCTTGCTCCAAAAGTCCGTTCAGGCTGCGCGGGGGTTGTGGGGGGCGGTGGACCGTGGAGAGCGGCCGTGGCTGCGGGCGGTGGGGGGTCGGGGGGCGCTGAGCGGGCATCCAGTCCTTCGGTGTCCGTGCCGCTTGTCCCGGGGCCTTGCCGAGGGCCCTCTTGGCTGCCCCGGCCCCCCGTGCCGTTAATCCAGCCAATTAAGCGGGAGCGGGTGTGGGAGCGGAGGAGGCGTGGGCGCGGTTGGGGGGGGGGGGGGGGGGGGAGGAGGGTGGGGGGGTGGCCCACGCGCGTGTGAGCGCGAGTGCGTGCGCTCGCGTGTTTTCAGAACAAACTCCAAACCCATCATTCTTTCCTGCTCCGGCTGTCGGCGGGCGACATTAATCACCACGCGTGCCAAGTCGTCCCTGCGCCCTTCCCCACGAGCATCCAATCACCCCGGCCCCGCATGCGCCACACCACCACCACCGCCACCGCCGCCACCCGCCGCCGCCGCCGCCGCCACCGCCGTGCTCTTTGCTTTTAAATTAATGCCGCCGCTACTCGGTGCTCCCCCACCACAAATCCCCAGATAAAACATTTATTTATTTATTTACGCTCGCGCCTCTTGATCAAATTATTGCTACGTTGGACTGGTCCGTCGGCCTTCGCGAGCGGAGGGGGGGGGGGGTGCGGTGAGGAGGGTGCGGTAGCAACGTGCGGCGGTGAGCAGCGGGAAACGCCGGGGTTAGCCGGCTCCCGACGCCGCCGGCTTCGCTTCCGCAGTTCGCCGCCCGCTCGTCGCGACGGGATGGTGCCGCTGACGGACGAGCGGTGGCCTCGCGGTCCCCCCCCCCTCGCTCTCTCTTCCTCGGCGTCACGTGCAATGTTGGCAGTCGCTCAGGCGTCCGTTTGCTTTTGCGATTCGCAGATGGCAGTGAGGTGGTGGTGGTCATCGAGCTGTTGATTGCTTTGCTCCTCCCGCTCAGGTCACGCACTCGCCAAACAAAGCTGTTGCGCCATCCTCGGGCACTGCGCTGTAAACCCGGGCAGCCTGAGATCGATTCCTGGCCACAGCTAATATCAGCGATTTATCTGAACTGATCCTGGCTCCTGTAAAACAACCCCCACACCGATCTGCCTAGCGAAGTATGGTCAAACAGCCCCCCCCCCGCCCCCCCTCCATGACTGACACAGCACGCACGATGGGCTGTAAATTATTATCATCTTTATCATAGTGCAGACATGTACAATCTCCGTACACCCACGTGTCTATGCGTGTGTGTGTGTGTACTTGGTGCAGTGTGTAAACATCGCCACTGGGGAGACAAAGGCGGCCGGGTGTGGTATTGACCACCCCCCCTCCTCGTGTGCCGTGCCGGCCTTCATAGGTGCCCGCTAACAGCACTTTGCCCCCATAGTCTGTAACAGGCAATACGGGGGATCTTTGTCTTTCTCTTTGGTTCTATTCGGTAAAGTCACGTAGGTAAAAAATAAAACAACAAAAATCACGACGTTTCGGCCACAACACAAGCGGCCTTCATCAGGTGAAGTGACCAGACCAGACTGCGCTGGAGTGAAACAGAGCCAAGCTCAGACCACGGCCTTTAAGCTGTGTGAGAGGGATTAAGGTGAAGGAACAAAACTGTCGGGATGACAGAGCTCCAATGAACGCTGGGTGAGAGAAGTGAGGCTCATTTTTTTTGTTGTTTTATTTTTTACCCACGTGACTTTACCGAATACAACCAAAGGGTATGGATCCTTGCAGTCACGAAAGCTTCAAATCTAGGATCTTCGTCTTGTGTTCACCAATGGGGAGCGGTTGTTGTCGGGGACTCGCGCTGCCCTCGGTAGGCCTGTGACAGTGGTCGAAGGGGCGTTGCTCGGATGCACGCAAATCCGAGCTCGAGAAACTCACCGCACTCGTGTCAAAAGGAAACGACAAATGACGGGCGACGTTTCGGGCAACGGCCCTTCTGCACGGCGCGTTTGCGTAATGAGCCGAGCAAAGACGGCCGTTGCGACGAGCAAAGACGGCGCAAAGAGCGGTCGTTCCTGCTTTGTTTTTGCGGGTTTTATTTTTGCCGTAACGAAACACCGTTTCTTTTTCCGCAGACGCCGAGCAGGCGCGGGCGTCCTTGGCGGAGAAGCGAACGTCGCCGCTGGACGCTCCGGAGCGCCTGAGCCCGGCCAAGAGGTCAAAGCCCCCGGAGGACAAAACCCCACCGCGCGACCAGGTACGCCTCGCCCAGCCTCCAGTTGGTCGTCGTTGTATTAGCGGCGCGAAGGGCAGATCGGAGTGCCCGTGTAGACGAGCGATCTGATGCACCGCGTGTTGCTTTTTTGACGTCGCGGCGCGGTAAAACTGCGTTCGTTACGATCGGTAATCCCACGTCCCCCCCCCCCTTCCTGTTGCCGGCCCCCTCCCCTCTCCAATCCCGCGACTCTCGCTCACCGCATCGCACGCTCCGCTCAACCTCCTCTCCTCGCCCCGCCCTGCCCTGCCATCGTCGCCCTTGCCGCCCCGTTCACGTTAACCGGTGCAATCTCTTCTCCCCCCTTTCCCTCCTGCGTCTGCCTCTCTCTTCTCTCCCTTCATTCAATCATTCCCTCCCCCCCCCCTGCCCTCCACGCGTCCTCTCTCTCTCTCCCCTCTCTCTCTCTCCCGACTCTTGTCGCCAAAACCTAAGGTGTACCAGTGTCCGTACTGCACTTTCACCTGTGGGTGTGGTCGTCGGCTGCAGACGCACATCGCCAGGCAGCACTCCTCCCTGCGGCAGCAGCACCAGCAGCACCAGCAGCACCAGCAGCAGCAGCAGCAAGCCCCGACGGCGCCGGCGCCCGGCAATGGCGGCGGCGGCGCGGTGCCCATGGCACCGGCGGCCGCCCTGCTGCGCTGCCCCCTGTGCCAGGACGCGCTGAGCAGCCGCATCCACCTGCAGCTGCACCTGACCCACCTGCACAGCGTGGCCGCCCACTGCATCCCATGCTCATGCAGACGGTACGTGCGTGCGAGGGGGGGGCGATGTGGGGGGGGGGGGGGGCGGGGGCGGGGGCTAGCGCCGAGCCAGCCCCCGGTGCCGGCTGTCTCTTCCGTTCGCCGAAGGCGCCGGGCGGGCCCGGTCGTCGTATCGGACGCCGCCGCGGTCGTCGCCCCGAGCGCGGTCGGCTTTCGGACGGTGCGCTCGCCCCGCTCCGGACGGCCCCGGTCGGGATCGCACACGCACGCGGGCGTCACGCCGCCCCCGCCAGCGGCCGTCTTCCAACCGCCACGTGACTCCTGGCCGGCCGGCGGCGGGCATCGGTCCTGCCGGCGGAGGAGAATGAGCGACCACCGAAGGCTCGTTGACTATCGAGGAAGGAAGTCGAATCCTCGACGCGGAGCAAGGGGCCTGCTCTGCCCGCACCTCCGATTAGCACTGGTCGGCTACGTTTGGTGGTTGCGAAAGACGTTCTACATTCGTCCATGCAGCAGCAGCAGCTGCAGCAGCAGCTGCAGCAGCAGCTGCAGCAGCAGCAGGGCCGGTGGAATGGCGCTGTTGATATCGTCGTCGGCGGTGGTACGCAGGAGGCCGCGGGTTCGATCTCGACCCTCCCGTAGAGCCGTAGCCGCACATTGAGATCCATCGACTAACATGTCGACTCGTAGACTCGCATAGAGACCCCGGCGAGAGCTCGGTGAGAGCCTGGTTAGATTCCGGTTGAGAGGCCCGGGTGAGCGCCCGGTGAGAGCTCGCCGAGAGCCCCGGGTGAACGGATTCCGGTGCCGCCACCGCAAGCGCCCGCTGCCCCGCGACGCTGCGGTGCCCGCGATTGGCCAGCCCGGCTTCAGCGGTGCCCCGCGGTGACGACGCAACAAATCTTTCCGCCGGCAAAGTGCAACGTCAATTAACTGTTTTACCCAGTGCCGGGGCGGTAGGGGGTTTATTCTGTGGCGCATTTCTATTTTTTTTGTCCGTCCGCTGATGCCGAGCCTTTCTCCATTGGGGCGCGGCGTTGCAACAGCCCGCACGTACGCGACGTTACGTCGCGTACGAGGGACGGGAGAGAGGGCCGATGGGGGGGGGTGGTCTCTCTGATCCACGCCGAACGCGGCACGAGACGTGAGGCCTTCGCCTTTAAACGGACTGCTGGGGCGCGCGGGTGCTGTGAAGCGGGCACCTCGGAAGGCCGGAAAGGCCAAAAGTGGCTTTCCGAGGTGACCAAGTATCGCGCACTCTCAGATCGGCTTTGTCTCCCCGGTGGCGATGCCTGTACACCGCGCCAGATGCTCATCTTCATGCCGAGTCAACCTAGGGGAGCGTCCGTGTGGCGGCCAGCGCACTGCGGTGTGAATCGGGAGACCCGAGCTTGATTTCCTGCTCGCTACCAATGTCAGTGACGACTTTCTGAATCGGTCCTTAAATGCATGCATGCGCGTACACCCAGGCACCTTTGTCTCCACGGTGCCAGTAATTGCCCATTTCACGTTTAAGGCTGGGTCAAGCTAGATGTTGGCCTTGGTCAGGAATCAAGCTCAGGTCACAACAACCATGATGTTTGTAAGAAATATATATATCTAAAAAGAATAATGATGATGATCACACAAACGACAATGTTGCACTTGCCAGGCCATATTTCACAATATGGCCCCGGCGATTATTCATTTTTGCGAACGAGTAAAAGAAAACAAGAAAAAAAACACGCAAAACCTCGATCCACTTCACAATCAACCACGCCCGCGGGGGCCTCCCTGGCCGCTTCTTCCCGGCCTCGCTCGAGGGAGGCGGCAGCAGCAGCAGCAGCAGCAGCCGAGTGCTGCCCAGCTCATCATGAGTCGCTACAAATTGGCTTGGCTCCTAACGAGCGCCCCATCTCCAATTTCCGCCCTGCGAGGCGGCCCTCTCCTCAGGCTTTGGGGGTGGTGGGGGGGGGGGGGGTTATTGAGGGGGGGGGGCCTCATACAAAATTCAAAAGGTGTTTTGGCGTTCGCTCGCCGCTGTGCTTGGACACGGAGGGGGGTGGGGGCGGCGGCGGGGGTCACGGGGGTCACGGTTGTGGGGGAATGGGACGGAGCACTGGGACTGCACAGTGCACACGAAGGGTACAAAGCAACCGCCAATTTCTGCCTCCAACCACACCTCCCCTCTCCCCCTCCCCCTTCAATTCACCACGACCTTCCAGGAGTCCAACCGTACCACGCCCTCCCCTTGCGGCCCTCCTCCCCCGCCCCCTCCCCCTCATCCTCCTCCCCCTCCTCCTCCCCCTCCCCCTCCTCCTCCTCCTCCCCCTCCTCCTCCTCATCTCCGTGGCCGATTCATGGCGATGGCGCCACTTTTCCTTAATGAGAACGGTCTAATTTGCCGCCCGCCTGGGTCAGGGTTCACGGGGGGTCACGCCTCCCTCCTGTCGGTTTTGCGTAATGAATTGTGGCACCCGCACCTACGGGCCCCCCCCCCCCCCCGCTGTCCCCCTCACTTGCCCCCCCCCCCACAACCCTCCCCTCCGTGGACCGCCGAACGAACGGCAAAACCTGTCTCTTAATTATGATTTTTATTTTTTTACCTTCGTGTGCCAACGCACCGACGAGACCGTGAAGGCGGCTCGTTAATTCATCGGTAAAACATAAAGAAGAAGAAGAACAATGATCGTTACGCATCTCGGGGGGGGCGGGTGGAGAGGCTGTTTGTTGTATTTACTTATTTATTTATTTACCAGACGCCAGCACCGCACGCTCGTGCACCGTGCACGTAATTTGGCTTTTTTTGCGGCTTTTGCGGCAGCCGCCCACAATTAAGGAGGGCGGCGGCGCGGGCAGCCCCGACAAATGAGGCTGCGGGGGGGAAATGCGGAAGGAGGACGCGTTCCGGTTCCTCCTCGTGAACCGCGGTTGGCCTCCCCGCTCTGCGCGGACGCGAGGACGTGCGTGGCCCTCGCCGAATCGTTCAGAGCCCAAAGAATCTCTTTGACGAGATTGGCGCACAGAATGGCCACCGCCGTCGATCCCGGAGAACGCGGTGCGGGCCCGACGCCGAACCTGCGGGTCTCGACCTAACGGCGCACTCGGCTGCGCTCGGTTGGCCTGGACAAGGCCTGAGAGCGCTGCGCGGTCACGTGACACGAGGCAGGCCAAGGCGAGGCGTGCGGGCGGCTTGCGAGAGTCGCGCTGCCTTCCTCGCTGTTTGCGAGCGGGGGGGGGGGGGGGGGTGGGGGAGGGACACCTTCTTCGCGTTTCGTTTAAAACCGAAACCGTCGATGCGGATGAAAGAGGCCCTCCCTATCAAAGAGGCCGTTGGGGATCGCCCTGCCGCTCACGGCCCTGCCCAACCCGCGCCGTCGACTCCGACGTTCCGACGGAACGGTTCCGGGGACGGACGGAGACGCGCTCGTGTTGGTGGCAACGATCGCCACTCGAGAAGGGTGGGGGAGGGAGGGGAGGGGGGGGGAAAGAGAGGGGCCCGATGGCCATTTTGTGCCGGCTCACAATTGAGCGCAATTTACGCTCGCGACGGTCCTTGGCGGGATCCTCCGCCGTCAAGTGGCGCCCGTTGACAACGCCGCTAATTGCCACGTTTTAACGCGAGCGGAGTGTGTGTGGGTTGTGTCGGCGCGTACGTGCGGGAGTTGTGCACTCGCATGCAGGTTTTTTTTTTAATTCGCTAAATTAATTACGATTTACACCGAGCCTTCTGTTAAATTGTAACCGACGGTGGGGGGGGGGCAGTGGAGGAATAGGAGGTGGGGAGTGGGTGGGGAAGAGACTTGACCCCTGCACCAAATGCACGGGGGGGGGGAGGGGGGGGGGGACTAAAACCGCAGGAGCAATTATGACGCTTTCCGCCACCAAAATGCGGGGGCGGGGGGGTGGGGGGGGAATGGAGGGTGGGGGTGGGGGTATTTTGAGTCGTGAAAAAATGGAAAATAAGCTCCCATTAGCCCCCGCATTGTGCCTTCTCAATTATGGAGACGACAATCTAGCGGCAATTATAGGAGCAATCATTACATGAAGTCATTATCCTGTCCGCCTGCAAAAGCTGCTGAGTAGCCCCGGCATAATTCAACCATCCCCCTATTTAGGGCCGCGTGAAATCAAGGTGTATAATTAAGAGGCATCTCCCGTTGGCCGTCGTGGCGCCGCGAGACCGCGCGCCTCCCCGCTTTGCCGTTTTTGCCGCTAATTGAATACGGTCGGCCGCCGCTGCGCCCGGCGGCTGGAGAGAAGCCGTGCTCGCGCTCGGCTCGTGGAGGCAACAACGACCCAACTTGCGTCGCCCGCCCCGCCGCCAAACAACGGCCGCCGCCGCCTCTTCGCGAGGAGCCGTCGGCGTTGCCGACTTATTTTCCGCCGGCGGCGGCGACGACGGTCGCCGCGCTCCCGCGGAGACGGCGGTGCGTGCGCGGACGAGCGAGCGATTGCGTGCGTGCAGCGACTCTCTCCGCGCTTTGTCTCGTGTCCCCCCCGCCCTGCCACCCCCACCCGCCCGCCCGCCCCGCCCGCCCGCACGCCACGGTGAGACGCTTTTCTCCCCTTTGCTATCCAGGTCTCCGGTGCCGAGAGCGCCGTGCAAGCGACGCGTTTTTCCCCGGCGTTGGCGTGGCCGCCGACGGAAGCGAGCGCCGACAAGAGCCGCGGCGCGGCGAATTCGGCGGCGACGACCATAGCCACGGTGGAAAACTTCGCCTACACAGGTGAGTCGGCAGCACCCCCCCCCATCCCCCCCCACCGGGCAACCCGCGATTGCGTCGTCATCGACGCTCGTAGACGTCCGTCACCAGCGTCACGGTCAGCGCCAGCGGGTTAGCGCCTCGCGCTCGCGGGCCCGCCGACTCGAGTTCGATTCCCGCTCGTGGGAATCGATCAAATAACACCGGCGATTATCTGAAGCGGTCCCCTCTGCCTTGAGAATGAGTGCCTGGTGCGGTGCGTAGTCGGCGCTGGGAAGGCAAAGGCGTAGTGCTGGCCACCCACCTCAGGCTAGACGTGTAGCCTGTAACAGACCATCGGGGGCAAGTGCTGTTAGCGAGCAGCACCTATGAAGGCCAGCCCTGTGGGACACGAGGGGCTGGGTGGCCAGCACCACGCCCGGCCGCCTTTGTCTCCCCGGTCACGATGTTTACTATACATCGCAATGGGTACTCACTTGAGGCTGAGTCGACCTAGGGGGAGGCCCAGGATCGGTTTCAGATAAGCGTCACCGATGTTGGCCGCGGGCGGGAATCGTACTCGGGTCGCCGGGTTCGTAGCGCAGCAGCGCGCTGACCGCTGCACCGCCGTTCTCCACGCGCGCACGCCCGCTCAAAAGTAACAAACAACAAAACCTTCGGAGCGCAAACGTTTTCACTTTGCGTGGCAGGCGAGGATGGTGAAAAGTCCGAGAGGCCCGGCACGTCCCGAGAGAAGGCCTCGCTGGGCGTGGGCACGAGTGGCGACCAGAAGGGCTTCCTGTGCTGGAAGAAGGGGTGCGGCCAGCAGTTCGCGACGCCCGGGGCGCTGCAGGCCCACTTCGCCGAGGCCCACGCCAAACAGCGGCAGCAGCAGCAGCTGCAGCAGCAGCAGCAGCTCCAGCCGCCGGCCGGCGCCGCCGCCGAGCAGCGAGCGGCGGCGGCGGGCGGCGGCGACTGGCAAGCACCGCTGCGGGCAGTGCGGCGCCGGCTTTAAGAGCCCCGACAAGGTGCTGGCTCACCAGCAGCTGTGCTGCCAGCCCGCCGCCGCCGCCACCCGCGGCCGCCTGCCCGCTGTGCCCGCAAAACCTGCGCACAGCCCGCGGCCCTCGGCAGACACCTCGAGTCGAGCCACCCAGAGCTGAGCGACGGCGACGTGCGCCAGATCTGCGGCAGCGTCGGCATCGGCTTCCGGGTCGGCCGCCGGGAACCGTCGCCGGCCGAGGGAGGAGGCGACGACGCGGCGGGCGCGGCGGGCGCACGACGGCGAGAGGGGCGACGCGGAGTGCCCCTCCGAGCCGGAGGGCAGGCACGGCGGCAACCGCGGAGGCGGGCGAGGGCGCGCCGGAGTGCGATGACCTGCTGGGCGACGCCACAAGCGGGCGCTGCCGTTCCGCAAGGGCACCAACTTCCTGATGGACAAGTTCCTGGACCCGTCGCGGCCGTACAAGTGCACCGTGTGCAAGGAGTCGTTCACCGCAGAAGAACATCCTTCTCGTGCACTACAACTCGGTGTCGCACCTCAACCGCACTGAAGAAGACGCTGCAGGGCTCCGGCGGGCCGTCCGGCGGCGCCGCGCAGGGCGACGCCGTCGCGAGCGCCGGCGACAGCAAGCCCTACCGGTGCGCCACCTGCAACGTGGCCTACAGCCAGAGCTCCACGCTCGAGATCCACATGCGCTCCGTGCTGCACCAGACCAAGACGCGGGCGGCGCTGCAGGAGTCGGCCGCGGCGGCGTCGGGCGGCGGCGGCGGCGGCTGCGGCGGCAAAAGGGGACGGCGCCGGCGCTTCGGCGGGCGCCGTGCAGCAGGCCGCGAGCGACCACGCCAAGGCCCAGGCGGCCCCGGCGGCTCGGCGCACAAGCCGGAGGCGACGCCGGAGTACGCGGAGGGCGCCGAAGAAGGCGCACGCGGAGGCGCCGCCGACGCCGTCGTCAGGCCAGCAGGCTCAGGCCCAGGCGCAGGCCCAGGCGCAGGCTTTGGCACGCGCTCAAACGCAGGCCCTGGTGCAGCAGGCGCAGGCGCAGTTCCAGCAGGAGCTGCAGCAGCAACAGCAGCAGCCAGCCTTCCTTCAGCACCAGCTCTTCAACCCGGCACTGCTGCCCCCTTTCTCCATGACGACGGAAGCCTTCATGCAGCTGCAGCAGCAGCAGCCATTCTTCTTTCCCTTCGGCCTCTCCGGCGCCGACCTTCAGCTGCACCAGGAGATGGTCCTGCCCGGGTCGTCCGGCGCGTTCGCCATGTCCAGCGCGGCCGCCTCCATCCTGGGAGAGCTGAAGTCGCAGCAGCAGTGGCAACAGCAGCAGCAACAACAGCAGCAGCAGCAGCAGCAACAGCAGCAGCAGCAACAGCAGCAGGCGCTTCAACTGCTGAGCGAGGAGATCGAGAATCGGAGCGCCGAGGAGGACGAGAAGATGGAGGAGGCGCAGGACGAGGATGTCGACGGCGAGTCCACGACGGCACCGGCGGCGGGCCCCGGCGAGGAGCCGGGCGACGCGCAGCACCAGCAGCCGGGCGGCTCCGAAGAACGCGTGCCGCCCCCCAGGATTCCGGCGTACGCCCGGGGCAATGCGGTGCGGGCGCTGCTGGAGAACTTCGGCTTCGAGCTGGTGATCCAGTACAACGAGAACCGGCAGAGGTCGGCGCTGGCGGGAGGAGAGCGCCGCGGCCGCCGACGCCTCGGGCAAGATCGAGTGCAGGGACTGCGGAAAGCTCTTCTCCAACATCCTGGTGCTCAAAAGCCACCAAGAGCACATCCACCTCCAGATCCTGCCCATCGAGGAGCTCAGCCGCTACTCCAAGCAGTACCGCAAGACCTACGACAAGGTCTACCCGATCAGGCCCGACTCGCCCGAGACGCAGGCGCTGCCGGCGCAGCAGCAGCAGCAGCAGCAGCAGCTCCAGCCGCCGCCGCCTCCGCCGCCTCCGCCGCCTCCTCCGACCTCGTCCGCCGCCCCGAAGCTGGCCACCCCTCCGGCACCCCGCAGCCCGCGCAGCCTTCGCCCCACCAGATGGTGCTGTCCCAGCTGGCGCTGCCCCCTGGACCAGCTGCCCATGCTGTCGCCGCTGATGATGCAGCCGATGCAGCTGCAGTCGATGGCGTCGCAGCTGTCCTCGCAGTTCATGCCATGGAGTCGATCACCGCCGACTTTGTGCAGCTCTACCACCTCCACCACCAGCAGAAGATGCAGCAGCAGCAGCAGCAGCAGGCAGTGGACTCGGCCCTGCTCCTGCAGCAGCAGCAGCAGCAGAGCAAGCCGGCCGCGCACCCGCATCACGGAGGAGCAGCTGAACGTGCTCAAGGCCTACTTCGACATCAACAACCTGCCGAGCGACGAGCAGATCCAGGAGATGGCCGAGAACACGGGCCTCTCGCACAAGGTCATCAAGCACTGGTTCCGCAACACGCTGTTCAAGGAGCGCCAGCGCAACAAGGACTCGCCCTACAACTTCAACAACCCACCCACCACGAGCCTCGACGATCTGCGGGTGGAGCCGCCGGCGGCACCGGCGGCGCCGGCAGTGCCGCCGTGCCGCCGCCCCCCAAGCCGGCGCCGGTCCCCCGAGCTCCCGACCCAGCAGCTGCAGCAGCAGCAGCAGCAGCAGCTACAGATGGAGACGTTGTCGAGCCGGCGCTCGAGCCGAACGCGCTTCACCGACTACCAGCTCAAGATCCTGCAGGACTTCTTCGACGCCAACGCCTACCCCAAGGACGACGAGCTGGAGCAGCTGTCCGGCCTCCTGAGCCTGCCGACGCGCGTCATCGTCGTGTGGTTCCAGAACGCGCGGCAAAAGGCGCGCAAGAGCTACGAGAGCCAGATCGAGGGCAGGGGACGGCGAAGAAGCGCGAGGTGCTGCTCAACGACCGCTACGTGCGCACCGGCAACATGAACTACCAGTGCCGCAAGTGCAGCGTGGTGTTCCAGCGCATCTTCGACCTCATCACCCACCAGAAGAAGCACTGCTACCGCGACGAGGAGGACAGCTACACGCGCGAGGACAACCAGATGGACGACTCGTCCGACGCCACGGACATGGGCAACTCGTCCGGCTACACGCCGCCGCCGGCGCAGCCGCAGCGCGACGCGCCGGCCCCCTCGTCGTTCCAGACGCCCGACGGCGACTCCCGCGGAGCTCCGAGCCCCAAAACCGAACCCGCCGAGGAGAAGCCGAAGGAGGGCATGGTGGAGAGGGAGCAGCGGGAGCAGCAGCTGCAGCAGCAGCGGGAGCAGCAGCTGCAGCAGCAGCTGCAGCAGCAGCTGCAGCAACAGCTTCAGCAGCAGCAGCAGCTGCAGCAGCATCATCATCAGCTGCAAAGTCAGCAGGAAGAGCAGCCAAAACCAAAACCGCATCAACCTCAGAGCAGCCATCATCATCATCAGCTGCTGTCGTCGTCGCAGCAGGGGCCGATGCAGCCGGCGCCGTACAACAGCCTGGCGCTGCAGCTGCTACCCTACCAGTGCGAGCAGTGCAAGCTCTCGTTCCCCACCTTCGAGCAGTGGCAGGAGCACCAGCAGACGCACATGCTCTCGGCGCAGAACCCCTTCGCTCACACCGCCCTCCGTCCTGGAGCGCCCCGCGGAGAATGCCCTTCGTGATGTTCGACCCGCGCTCCAGCTCGCTCGTGCCGGGCGCCGCGCTCTCGGGCGCGCTGCCGCACGTCCCGTCGCAGTCGGCGCCGTCGCCCGCGACGCCGGCGTCGTCCGCCGGCGCCGAGGAGAGGGCCGACGTCGCGGGCAAGGCGGACGGCGAGCGGCTCGACGAGCCTCACAAGGACAAGCGGCTGCGGACGACCATCACGCCCGAGCAGCTGGAGGTGCTCTACGGCAAGTACATGATCGATTCGAACCCCACGCGCAAGATGCTGGACCACATCTCCAGCGAGGTGGGCCTCAAGAAGCGCGTGGTGCAGGTGTGGTTCCAGAACACGCGCGCCCGCGAGCGCAAGGGCCAGTTCCGCTCGTTCGGCATGGTGCAGGCCCACCGGCGCTGCCCGTTCTGCCGCGCCCTCTTCAAGGCCCAGACGGCGCTTCGACACGCACATCCGCTCACGCCACTGGCACGAGGCGCGCCAGTCGGGTTACAACGTCTTCCCGTCGCCCGGCGCGCCGAGCCCCGGGCACACCACAGGCCAAGGACGGCGGCGGTGGCGGCGGCGGCGGCGGCGGCTTCGAGCACTTCGCTCAGCATGGTGTTCTCCCAGCCGCCGTTCGGCAATGAGCGCCGGCTGCGACAACCGGTCGGCGCTGCTGTCGCAGATGAAGATGATGGGTGACAACTCCCCCACCGGGCTCAGCCACCTCGCCCATCAACGTCGAGAGCAGCTTCTGCGACAAGGCCATCGTTCGTCCCCAAGGCCGAAGGGTCGATGGCGGGCGGCGCGGCGGACGGCGACGCTTCGGCCTACGACGACGACGATGGCCGCGGCGGCGGCGGCGGCGGCTCGTTGGAAGACGGCCGCCCGTCCGGCGCGAGCGCGGCGCGCGGCGAGAACGGCGACGGCCTCTCGGCCGAGGCGACGACCTCCGACTACGTCCGGCCGAAGACGGAGGACGAGGCGGCGTTTCAGCCGACGACGCCGGCGCTCGGCAGCGAGAGCGGCGACGGCGGCGACGGCGTCTCGTCGTCGGGGCCGGTGAGCCCCGGCCTGAGCCTCTCGACGACGCTGGACTTCGAGATGAACGACTACAGCGAGACGTCGAGCCTGGCCGACCCGCGCACCCCGAGCCCGCTGGGCGGCCTCGCCTTCTCGCAGTCCAAGCTGTCGTCGTCGTCCGACGACCGCCCGGGCCACAAGCGCTACCGCACCCAGATGTCCAACCTGCAGCTGAAGGTGCTCAAGGCCTGCTTCGGGGAGTACCGCACGCCCACCATGCACGAGTGCGAGATCCTAGGCAACGACATCGGGCTGCCCAAGCGCGTCGTGCAGGTGTGGTTCCAGAACGCGCGCGCCAAGGACAAGAAGTTCAAGCTGAGCGTCGCCAAGCAGTTCGGCGCGGATGCCGCCGGCCGCGGCGGCCGGCGGGGAGGGCGCGGCGCCACGGGGGGGTCGCTGCGGCCTGTGCGGCGTTCAGTACACGGCGCGACTCTCTGTGCGCGACCACGTCTTCTCGCTGCAGCACATCGGCAAGCTCAAGGAGAGCCTCGGCAGCCAGCTGGACGGCGAGAAGTTCCTCGACCCGGCGCTCTTCCGCCAGTTCATGGCGCAGCAGGAGCTCGACCGCATCAAGAAGGCCAATGAGAGCATCGGCCTCGGACTTCCCCCAGCAGCAGCAGCAGCAGCAGCCAATTCAAGTCACGAAGCACCCTGCCACGTTCCACAACGGGCCCCAAGTGCCGGGCCTGGGCCTCTCGTCGGCCTACTCGGCCGTTCCCGGGCTCTCGCCGATGCTCATCCCGGGCGTTGGGGGCTCCCCGGCGCTGCCCAACTTTGGGCCGTCTCCAGCAGGTTGGCGTCATCTGCTTGTGCGTGGCTTCCTGTGTGTCACGTGTGTGGCTTCCCGTGTGTCACGTGTGTGTGGCTTCCCGTGTTGTCACGTGTGTGGCTTCCCGTGTGTCACGTGTGTGTGGCTTCCCGTGTGTCACAGTGTGTGTGCTTCCCGTGTGTCACGTGTGTGGCTTCCCGTGTGTCACGTGTGTGTGGCTTCCCGTGTGTCACGTGTGTGGCTTCCCGTGTATCACGTGTGTGGCTTCCCGTGTGTCACGTGTGTGGCTTCCCGTGTGTCACGTGTGTGGCTTCCCCGTGTGTCACGTGTGTGTGGCTTCCCGTGTGGTCACGTGTGTGGCTTCCCGTGTGTCACGTGTGTGTGGCTTCCCGTGTGTCACGTGTGTGTGGCTTCCCGTGTGTCACGTGTGTGTGGCTTCCCGTGTATCACGTGTGTGTGGCTTCCCGTGTGTCACGTGTGTGGCTTCCCGTGTGTCACGTGTGTGCTGCTTCCCGTGTGTCACGTGTGTGTGGCTTCCCGTGTGTCACGTGTGTGGCTTCCGTGTATCACGTGTGCGGGCTTTCCCGTGTGTCACGTGTGTGGCTTCCCGTTTGTCATGTGTGTGCTGCTTCCCGTGTGTCACGTGTGTGGCTTCCCGTGTGTCACGTGTGTGTGGCTTCCCGTGTGTCCCGTGTTTGTGGCTTCCCGTGTATCACGTTTGTGTGGCTTTCCCGTGTGTCACGTGTGTGGCTTCCCGTGTGTCACGTGTGTGCTGCTTCCCGTGTGTCACGTGTGTGTGGCTTCCCGTGTGTCACGTGTGTGGCTTCCCGTGTATCACGTGTGCGTGGCTTCCCGTGTGTCACGTGTGTGGCTTCCCGTGGTTGTCACGTGTGTGTGGCTTCCCGTGTTGTCACGTGTGTGGCTTCCCGTGTATCACGTGTGTGGCTTCCCGTGTGTCACGTGTGTGGCTTCCCCGTGTGTCACGTGTGTGGCTTCCCGTGTGTCACGTGTGTGGCTTCCCGTGTGTCACGTGTGTGGCTTCCCGTGTATCACGTGTGTGGCTTCCCGTGTATCACGTGTGTGGCTTCCCGTGTGTCACGTGTTTGGCTTCCTGTGTGTCACGTGTGTGGCTTCCCGTGTTGTCACGTGTGCTGCTTCCCGTGTGTCACGTGTGTGGCTTCCCGTGTGTCACGTGTGTGGCTTCCGTGTGTCACGTGTGTGGCTTCCCGTGTTGTCACGTGTGTGCTGCTTCCGTGTGTCACGTGTGTGGTCTTCCCGTGTGTCACGTGTGTGGCTTCCCGTGTATCACGTGTGTGGCTTCCCGTGTGTCACGTGTGTGTGGCTTCCCGTGTGTCACGTGTGTGCTGCTTCCCGTGTTGTCACACAACACCAGACCCACAGTTTTTGTCCTTCCCACCGCACCTCCGGTAAGCCACGGTTGCCCGACGTACGGCGCGAAAGAGAAGTTCAACGCTACGCGCGTCCAGGACGCCGCCGCAAAGGCGACGGCGTGAACCCCCCTCGGCAGCGTCCTTGACACGCAGACAATTCCCCTTTTGTAATTTGGGCCTTCCCGCCGCTGCACGGCTGACCTGGCTGGTGTCGGGCAGCGGCTGTCATTTATGTACGCGGGGGGCGGTCGAGCGCCGATCGGAGGAGGCGGGCGGCGAACGCCGGCGATGCCGCGGTGAAGCCTCGGTTGTGGTCGCTTGCAAATCCGGGCATCGAGGCGCCGCCAGGAAACCGTACACAGTAGAACCCTCTGAACGAGCACCTCTGTTAACGACGAATCGCTATAACGACGGGCCTCCAATAGAGCCCAATGTGTAGTGTATAGTAGTGTATAATAGTGTAGTGTATGGTAGTGTAGTGTATAGTAGTGTTTGTGTATAGTAGTGTAGTATATAGTAGTGTAGTCCTATAGTAATGTATAGTATATAGTAGTGTAGTGCATATTAGTGTAGTGTATATTAGTGTATAGTGTAGTGTATATTAGTGTAGTTTATAGTAGTGTAGTGTATAGTCAGTGTATAAGTGTACTGTATAGTAGTGTATAGTGTAGTGTATGGTAGTGTATCGTAGTGTATAGTGTAGTGTATAGTAGTGTATAGTGTATAGTAGTGTGTAGTGTAAAGTATAGTATAGTAGTGATAGTTTATAGTCTAGTGTATAGTGTATGTGTACAGTGTAGTGTGTAGTATAGTGCGTAGTATAGTAGTGTAGTGTGTAGTAGTGTAGTGTGTAGTAATGTATAGTAGTGTATAGTGTATAGAGTAGTGTATATTAGTGTAGTGTATAGTAGTGTAGTGTAAAGTAGTGTAGTGTATAGCTGCAGTGTATAGTAGTGTAGTGTATAGTAGTGTAGTGTATAGTAGTGTTGTGTATAGTAGTGTAGTGGTTAGTGTAGTGTACAGTAGTGTATAGTAGTGTATAGTGTATAGTAGTGTAGTGTATAGTGTATGGTAGTGTATGGTAGTGTAGTGTAAAGTAGTGTAATGTAAAGTAGTATAGTGCGTAGTAGTGTAGCGTATAGTGTAGTGTATAGTGTTGTATATAGTGTTGTGTATAGTAGTGTTTATAATGTTGTTAGTATCTTTATGTATTAATATGCATTGTTTAAATATTACAAAGTACGTTTCTTGGGTGAAAAAGAGGGCAACTCCTCCCTCCTTCCCCCCCCCCCCCCCCTTCTCCCCCATCCTCCCTCCTTCCCCCCCCCCCTTCTCCCCCATCCTCCCTCCTCCGTCCCTCCGGCAGCGATGACGACGCCCCAAAGCGGCGCTCATCGGCTTCCCGATGTCGGCGATCCCCCGCCGGGTGTCACCGCGCCCGCCGCGGGTCCCCAGCAAATCACCGCAGCAGCAGCAGCAGCAGCAGAACGCCGGCACGGCTGTCGCAGTCGCCGGGCAAGGAGAGGAGCCAAGATGCCGCCGGCAGCGACGACCAGGACGCCGACGAGCGGCAGAAATCCGACGCCGCGACGAAGCGCGAGGAGGCGGGACGCGGCCGCTCAGCAGGCGCGGGCCGACCATGCCCAGCCTGCAGGCCCTGCAGGCCGCGCTGGCCGGCGAGTCGAACGCGACGGCGGCGGCCGCCCTCCTCGCCGGGCAGCTGCTGCCCTGCTTCGGCTGCCCACGCTGCCGCCGTACTTCAACGGGCCGCAGCTGCCCACGGCGGCGGCGGCCGCGGCCGTGCTGCAGGGCGGCTACCTCCAGTCGCTGTACGGGGTGGACGCCTCGGGCCTCTTCCCCTACGGCCCGGCCTTCGCGCAGGCCGCCCTCGCCAACGGGCTGGCGGCCGGCTCGCTGCTGCAGCAGCAGGTGCAGCAGTATCAGCAGAACGTGCAAGAGGTGCTGCAGCAGCAGCAGCAGCAGCAGCAGCAGATGACGCAGGCGGCGCAGCCGTCGAACGGCTCCGTGCAGGGTCAGCACGACAGGGGCGGCCGGAGTGCGAAGGAGGCGGGCGACGGGGCCGACGAGGGGGCCGGGCCGCCGGGCAAAGGCAAGGGGGCGGCCGCGGACGCCCCGACCAAGCAGGGCCTGGCGGAGCACTGCGAGATGAAGTGCAGCCTCGTGTGCCGCAAGTGCCAGATGGTGTTCTCCGACGAGACGCTGGCGCTCGCCCACCAGAAGTCGCTCTGCTACTTCGGCCTGGGCAAGGTGGACGCGCGGGAGACCCTGGTGCGCGTGCCGTCCGGCCAGTACCAGTGCAAGGCCTGCGACGTGACCCTGCTCGGGGAAGACGGCCTGCGACGCCACCTCCAGTCGTCCTCGCACCGGCAGCAGGTCGCGGCCAAACGAGCTACGTCCGACGCCAAAGAGCAGCAGCAGCAGCAGCAGCAGCACGCTAGACTATTATTACCTCACTCCTTTCGCGCCACTGATGCCGCATCTACCTCGCAGCAGCAGCAGCAGCAGCAGCAGCAGCAGCCCGTGCCGGATGATGGCGGCGGCTTCTCGGCAGCCGGCTCCTCGTGCGCCGCTCCCGTCGCCTGCGCCAAATCGTGGCCGCCGTTCGCCACGCCCGTGACGCCGCCGTCCCTCCCGCAGACGCGCTTCTTGCCCGCCCTCGTCACGGCCTCCCTGGCGAACTCGGCCGCCGTGGCGGCGTCGGCCGGGATGGACGCGCAGGTGCCGGCGGCGGCGGCGGCGGCGTCGCCCCAGCCGCCGGTTTCGCTGAGCGGGCGCTCGGGCGACGCGGACCAGGGCGGCAAGGCGACGTCGCTGGCGAGCGAGCGCGCCATCGCGGCGTACGGCATGATCTCCGAGCGCGAGTCGCAGAGCGTGGGCTCGTAGAGGAGCCCACGGTTTCGCGGGCGCAGCGCGACGCTCGGGTTTTATAGATAGCTTTAAACAGAACTTTGAAAAAAATAACAAAAACCAACACAAAAACGGAGACACGATCATTTACTGTGCATGTATTAACCCGTTGGTACATTCCTTTTAATTTTTTTAAGAACTATTTTTATTTTTCCTTCCCGAGGGTGTGTCGGCCTTGCGTACAGTTGTGTCGGGAGCCGTTGCGGCGTGAAGGCGACTCGTGGGTTTTGCTAAGGAGGAGGAGGAGAAGGAGGAGGTCGCCTTTTAAATGTACCGGCGCCGACGTGGAGAAGAGCGTGGGATGATGGCAGGAGAGGACGCGTCCGGGCGGGGTTCGAGGGGCCTGGGTTTTGCTCGTCGCAAGCGGAAGAAACCCCCCCAACGTCGCGGCGTTTGACTAAAAGGGCTTCCTCCGCCCAGCACCCCGGAGAAACACCAACACGTTGCATCGAGAGAGACAGAAAGCAGGGGAAGAGACACTCAATTCGGGCCAAGCTTTAATAACAATGACGACAAACAAACAACAACAACAACAACCGAACGACGCCGTTGACGACGACGGCGAGTCGAAGCGTTGAGCCGTCGGTGCCGCGACGGTTCTCCCACAGTTTTTGCCGGCAACTTTAAGGGCAGCCTCCTGCTGGGGGGGGGAGGGGGGGCAGCAAACGGCGGCAGCCCCCACCCCCCCACGCCCCCACCCCCTTGCTCCCCCCCCCCCCCCCCCCCTCCGGCGCGACTTGAAACGCCGCGTAAACCCGTTCAAAGAGAGAGAGAGAGAGAGAAGGTGCTTTCTAATACATTTGCAAATTTCCAAAGGTGTTTTAACCAAAAGAAACCAAATATGAATGGTAGGACGATCACATTCCCCCCATTCACACCGCCGCAAATATAGCTCAAGCAAAACTACAAACAAACAAAAACTACGAAAAACAACAACAACAAGAACAAGAACCGCCGTCAACCAGAGAGATGGGTCCGGTACTTTTGTGCGCATTTCGTCGAGGGAAAAGAGAAAAACGTAAACATGTGTCGGGGGTTGGGGACGGAAGAAAAAAAAAGATTGTCGGACCACGTGATGATGGAAGAAGTGTTATACCTCATTTAAACTTGTACGTATCCCAAAAGAAGATGGAACGATAACAAAACTAAACAGGAAAAAAAATTGCGTGGGGAGCATCCAAGGAAGGTTTAACCCGTGATGTGCATCCCACGTTCGTGTCCACCTTGTCTGCCATCCGTCAGCTTCGTGAAGGTTCCAGTATTTTTGAAAGCCTCAGGTTTAATACAAAAAAAACGAACGAACGAACGAACGAAGGAAGGAAGGAAGGAGAGTGTTGCGGCGTGCCAGTGCGTCGTGGCGGAGACGGATATCCAAGCGGAGTGGCCGTGGACGACAGCACATTCCTCGGAGAATCCACTTTGACCTCAGACCACTTTTGGGCACGCAATGACTGCGGACCACCCCCCACCCCCCGCGCGCGCTGAATTTCTTCTTCCCATCGAAGTGCGTCTCAGACGAACGAAAAATGGGGGAGGGAAAAATATATATTTATTTATTAAACTCTGCCCGCTTTTGGGGGCAGCACGTTTTGACGCCGAAAGCCCGGACGGGCGGATCGGCAATCCGCGTTATCGCCCCTCGCGAAAGAGCGCACCACCGTGTGTGGGGGGGGGGGGGTAACCCCCCCCCCCCCCACGCGCGGTGTTCGCCCTCGCCCCACTTCCAACCTCGGGCACCGCGCTGCCGAGGCTGGCACCGTCCGCGGGCAGGGAGGGAGGCGGGGGCACGCCGCTCGCTCCTCTCCCGTGCCCGCGTGCCCGTGTCACAGGCAGTGCGAATGGTCGCAGAGGGCCCCACGGACTTAACGCTTCTCGACGCGCCGATGAAAAGATGCAAATCGTTTCCGCGCGCTTTCGGTTCAGATTACGACGAGAAAATATTGAGAGGGGGTGCGAGGAGGGGAGGGGAGGGTGGGCGAAACTATAACTTTGGAATGATTGTCGTGGGGAGAGGGGGTGGTGGAAATAATGACTAAAGTTTTATAAATAACGCTGTCGGCACTTAAAACTTACAGAAGTCTGCGAGGCTGTCGGTGGCAGGCGGCACGGCGAGCGATCCGCAGTGACAAACGCGTTGAGCTTTATAAGGCAAAGTGATTTTGCTGTCCTCATGCAACACGTCGTGACTTTGTGTGTGTGTGTGTGCGCGCGCGAGTTGTTTTCCCGATCGTTCAAACTACGAATGCTGCACTGCGTTGGCACACTCCTGCTGAAACATCTCATTTCCGGTGGCCCCTCCCTTACCCCCCCCCTTGTCCCCCCCCCTCCCCACCCGGTTTTGAATGGGAATGTAACGATGACCGACGACGAATTTCCGTCGACGGACCACGGCGGAATTGATTCCACGCTTTACAAAACTTCGGAGAGAGACGGGCGGGCGGTGTGGGAGAGAACGCGTCGCGACCGATGTAAAACTGTCGACCTTGGGAGCGATTCCCCCCCCTCCCCCCCCAACGCTGTCGCACAAAGTGGTAACTGTCGCACAAATATCCCGCAGACCTCCCGGAGCGGCAACGATCAAAACCGCCGTCCGTGCGTGAATTTCGCCGGGACGGAGCGCGCACGATCGCTCCCGTGCTCTCGTGCACGCTCGCTCACGACGCCGGCTCTGCCCCCCCTCCCTGCCCCCCCCCCCCGTGCCCCCACGCTCGCCTCTGTCCAGGCACGGCCCTGATTTTGGTCGTAGGGATACGTGTCCTCACGTATACATCAATATTATTGCTGTTGTTGTTGTCGCCGTCACCATCGTTGCAATTCGAATGATGGTGACGATGATCTGCCCTGGCGGTAGCATCGGCGATGATGATGACCACGACGACGAGGACGACGACGATGGTGATGATGATGGTGATGATGGTGATGGTGGTGATGATGTGAAGCTCACGGGTGCTGCGGGTGCTGAGCGTGTCCGCTCGGCCCCAGTGTGTCGAGGCGAGGCGTTCAGAGATTCCCCACAACTAGTTGCACCTCTGGTCAGCAGTCAGAGCACACACACACACCACTCTCACACGCACACAGCACTCACGCACAGCACACGCACACAGCACTCACACGCACACAACACTCACACACCACTCTCACACGCACACAACACTCACACGCGCACACAACACTCACACGCGCACACAACACACACGCGCACACAACACCACTCTCACACGCACACAGCACTCACGCACAGCACACGCACACAACACACACGCGCACACAACACTCACACGCGCACACAGCACACGCGCACGTAGTACGCACGCACACAACACTCACACGCGCACACAGCACACGCGCACACAGTACGCACGCACACATCACTGACACACAGCACACGCGCACAGCACACGCACAATCAACACTCACGCGCACACAGCACTCACACGCGCACACAGCACACGCGCACTCAGTACGCACGCACACAGCACTGACACACAGCACACACGCACAGCACTTACACAATCAACACACGCACATTCATGCGGCCAGCAGTCGGTTTGCACAAACGCAATTTAAAATTCTCGCGCGCCGTACGAACCCCACAGCGCCGGCCGGGATACACCCCCCCCCACCCCGTCCCGCTCGACTTCCTCGGTGCGGCCTGCGGTGTGGCGTGATGCGGCCTGCTCGTGCGGGGTCCTGCGCCGGCTACAAGCGAGCACCGACTCATCGCAAGGGCCGAAGCCGCCACCGATGGACAGCGTCGGGTCGCCCGGACGGACTGACGGACTGACGGACGTGTGCCCCTTCCGTCGCCGCCGCCGCCGCTCGCTAACGCCAAATGGCCTCGTCCTCTGGGCCCCGTGTACAGCGGTCATGTACGCACAAATTCGACCGTACGCGGGACGTCGTCCGGGCGTGCAATACGGACGGAGTTCCCTTCGCTGGGGGGGGGGGGGGGGTTCCGTTCGGGGGAGTGGAGGAGCGGGGAGAGCGGTGAGGTTGGGTGAGGCGTGGATGTTCTTGGCATTTTCGAAGTCCTCGCGGAAAGGAATCGGGACCGCCCCGTTTTCGACTCGGCGTCTGCGAATACCGGCCAAAAACGATGGGATAGGTAAAATAAAAATAACAAAAAAAAATAGGCGAATTGGTGTAAATACGGTGAAGTTGGGATATTACGTTTTTTTTCGTTTTTTTTTTACATTATTATTATAATATATGAAAATGCATATGCGTATATCGATATAACTTTGTGGCCAGTTTCGGACCCAGGACCTCATGTGCTGAAATGGGAGTAAGAAAACAAGTGACGTGACCACGCGCGAGTCAGCGTTGGGGAAGATGGGACAGTTCCCACTGGGGCCCCCCCTGCGTGCTTTTATAAGCGGCGTGTGCGCGTCCTGCTACAGCAGGCTGCCCCCCTCTCCTGGACCCCCTTCCCTCCCTCCACCCCCTCCCCTATCCCCCCACCACCACGGAGAGATATGCGCAGGTAACTTTTTGAGGCGTCTCCGACTACGGATTTGCAGACGTTTCAATATAGCTTTAAAACACTTCACCCCTCTCCCCCCTAACCGGAGCGATTCAAGTAATAATTACGCGCGAAAGGAATTGTGGGTATCGGGGGTTTTGTGTGTTTTTTTGTATCGTTGTTTGCGTTAACCCTCCTCCACCCCCCCCCCAACTTATTTATGAGATATCGGGTTAAAACGAAAAACAATCTTCTTTTCAAGAAAAGCCTCGAAAATGTTTTCGGTATTTTTTTCGATATCTTGAGAAAACAAAAGTATATAAGGCATTTTGCGTTTGGTTTTGCAGTTTTAATTTCGTCCACAAATGGCACTTTTTTTTGTTCACCCCCCCCCCCCCGCCCCCCTGCGGGACACTTTTCCGTTTCACTTATCCAAATCTTCGCTCGGATAGGAGAGAGATGCATGCGTTATCGATACGAGTGTGAAACTGTGAATTCAGCTTGCATTGACTTGCTCCCCCATTCCCCCGCCCTTTAACAGTTCATTCCAAAGTATTTTATAGAAATGTCTTTTTTTTGCTTGAATAATTCTAAGGGGGGGGGGGAAAATTATTGCATCGAGAGAAATATTCCGCACTAAGGTGTTTGGTCTCCCCCCTACACTCCGTCTCGTCCGCCTCTCGTCACGGGAGAGAGAGCGTGTGGATTCACGTTGAGACCACATCCCTGCCTGCCCCACCCCCGCCGCCGTTCCCTCGGTTATTTCGGTAAAGTCACGTGGATAGAAAAATAGTGTAAAGCGACAATTAAAAAAAAAATTAAATTAATCATTTATTTTTCATTTTATTTTATGAAAAAATAAAATGACGATTTCAAATAAATTAAAATTAATTTTAAAAAAATGTAACTTTTATTTTCTATCTACGTGACCTTTACCGAAAGAACCAAAGAATATGAATTCCTGCAGTCACGAAAGTTTTCAGTCAAAGTTTGTCAGAGGCCCGGCGCGGGTGTTCGAGGAGGCCGAGTCCGGCCGTGGCCACGTTGGCGGCTGGGGTACTAAGGCGTCCGCACGGGTACCGACGGACGCGTTTTTATTACGACGAAAAAACCTGGACGCTATTTCCTCTCTCGTATGTTTTACATTTTTTCGTGTGTGTGTGTGTGTGGGTGTGTGTGGACCGCTTTGTCCTCCGAGGCGTTTCTTTTTGTTTGTTGTTGTTGGCGG